AGGAGCACGAGCGCAATTCCCACCGGCCCATCCCGCTTGGCAGCAGCATCCCGACCTCTGGAAGCTGTCCCGGCTCACCTTGGCCAGGAACACCCACCTAGGGCTGGAAAAACTCCCACAGCCCGGGGCTGGGTGACCTCCCTGCATCCCAAACTTCCCTGGGTGACCTCCCTGCATCCCAAACTTCCCGTTGTTCCCTGCTCAGGGCACAACAAAAGCCGAGCAGCTGCTAAAAGGTCGCTCCTTCCCCCCGGGGGAACTCGCTAATGAGGTGATGAAGGGCTCTCGTTTTCCAGAGCAGATGTTCTCTGGGAGCCTTTTTTTTTTTGGCAGCCCAGGAGTCGCTGAAGTCGTTTCCCAGATCCCAGGGACAGGGAGGTTAAAGGCAGGACGGCTCCCGGGGGGAGATTCGCTCGCTGTTCTCAGCCAGCAAAGGGTGGAATCTCAGCTGGTTTTGCCCCAAAACGCTGGAAGAACCATTTGATGTCCCTTAGGGGGTGTTTCCAGGCTTATTTGTCGCCTCACTGGAGGTGACACCTTCCCAGGTTCTGATCCCTGCCCCTTTGGGATCAGCGGGATGGAGGCCGGAGTTGGGAGTTTTCTCAGCCAGGAAAGGGTGGAATCAGCTGGTTTTGCCCCAAAAACGCTGCAAGATCCATTTGTTGTCCCTTAGGGGGTGTTTTCATTCTTATTTGTCGCCTTGTTGGAGGTGACACTTTCCCAGGTTCTGATCCCTGCCCCTTTGGGATCAGCAGGATGGACACCAGAGCTGGGAGTTCTGGTGAGGTGTCCCCACGGCGCGTGGCACAAACCCTAATTAAACCCCAAACTCCCTCTCCATGGGGCTCAGAGACGCTGCTGGGAGGGGAACATTCCTTAAATTGCGCCTCAAAAAAGGCTGCAAACCATCCCAAGGCCTGGAGCCTCCTCTTCTCCGACGCTCCGGGTGAAGTCTCGGCGAATTCCTGCCCCGACCTTGGAGCTGGGACGGCAAATTCCAGGAGCTGAGGAGAGTGAGACACATTTCCGTATTTCCACAAGTTTCCACAAGCCCCCTGGGAGCTCTGGAGCTGAGTTATCCCACGTGGTCAGAGCCGTAGGCACGAGGAAGGACGTAACAATTTGATTATTCCCAGCTTGAAGTTCCGCCGAGCTGGGTTTTCTTTCCCTTCCATCTGCCCTTTCCCTCCTTTCCTTCCCAAACAACAGGCTCTGGGAGGCTCCTGCATGTCACAGCCTGAATTAATAATGTGCTAAGAAAATAAAGATAGTTCAGCAGCCTTTAAATCAAGGGACTTTAAAGGGTTGGAACAAATCACGTCGCTCCGCGTGCCGGGTTTCTGGGGACAGGCAGGAATTTAAATCCTCCAGCAATTTATTGCTGGTGACAAAATTCCTTTCGGGAAGAGCCGCTCCTGAGATGCTTCTCTTTATCTGTGGAGCAGATTAATGTGTTCCCAGGGAAGGTGGCCACAGGATTTGTGTCCCGGGGTCTCCGTGTCACCCGGGCCCGCGTAAATATCCGTGTTTTTTCCTGGATGCTCCTTCCCTTGGCTCGTGCTGTGGGGCTGGGGTTGGCACAGCCACTTCCAGAGGCAGCACCAAGTGGAGGAGGAAGGTGGGACAAGGACAAGGAATCTCCTGGTGGGGATCCAAGGAGGTGTTTGGGGGCTCTGGCAGCAAATCCTGTCCTTGTCTGGCTGGTGGGAGCAAAGGCCTGGATGGATCCTGGTGGATGTCACCATTCCCGTGTCCCTCTGCACAGATCCCAGGGGGGACTGACCCCCCTGTGTCCCACTGGGGACAGCCTCGTGTTGGCTCTTCCTTGTTCCCATCAGGAACCCACTCTGGCTCATCCAGGAAACGGCTGCTTTTGATGGGAATCCATGGGAATTGGGTGTGGAGGTTGATTTTCCGCAGCCAGGGGTGTGTTCCCTCTCCCACAGTCTCGCTGCAGCTCCGGGTTCTTGTCTGAGGAGACCTCAGGAATCTTCACCCCGGCACTCCAGGTGTTTGTTTGTCTTTCCTGGCCCCCTGGAATTGTTGCTCCAGGACCTCTTTGTCCTTCCCATCCTCCTCTGGAGCCATCCCAGCTTCTCATCTTCCATCCAGTGCTCACATCCCTCACATCCCAGCCCCTGCCAGGGGGGAACCCTCGGCATGAGAACCTCTGGAAGGGGCTGCAGGGACATTTGGGGACAGTTTGCTGGACTGGGATCCGAGGGGACTCGGCAGGGGACACACCCTGTGCCCACCCTGTGCCCACCCTGTGCCCGCCCTGATGCCCTTCCTGACTCAGCAGCTCGACAGGGAGGGAAGAAAGGGAGTTAATTTATTCCTGAAGTAATTAATTGCTCCTGTCAGAGGCAAGGGATAATTCCATGGCTCTGTAATCCCAGCAGGAAGATCCTTCTTGTCCCCTGACAAGGCAGCTTTGATGGAGCCACTGCACTGACACTGCTGGAGTCAGGAAAGGGACATTCCAGTTAATGATTCCTGCTAATTAGAGCAGAGCAGACGTGCTCCAGGGTGTTCCAGCCTCATTCCCTGTGGGAATGACAAGCACACGGGTAGGAAGGGGGCCTGGAGAGCTGGTGGGGACAAAACTGGGCTGGAATGAGGAGGTTCCTGGAGGTGATGCCTTGAGGAGGGGGGAGGAGGGAACCAAACACCCCTCAGAGCCGTGGAGTCGTGGAATGGTTTGGGTTGGAAGGGATCAAAAGGATCATGGAATTCCAACCCTTCCCTGGGAGAGGGTGGGGAGGCCCTGGGATGGAATTCCCAGAGGAGCTGTGGCTGCTCCAGCCCTGGAAGTGTCCAAGGCCAGGCTGGAGAAGGGAAGGCTCCAGGGAGACCTGAGAGCCCCTTCCAGGGCCTAAAGGGGCTCCAGAAGAGCTGGAGAGGGACTGGGGATGAGGGATGGAGGGACAGGACACAGGGAATGGCTTCAAACTGGAAAAGTTGAGATTTAGGTGGGATATTGGGAAGGAATTCCTGGCTGGGAGGGTGGGGAGGGGCTGGGATGGAATTCCCAGAGAAGCTGTGGCTGGAAGTGTCCAAGGCCAGGTTGGAGCAACCTGGGATGGTTGGAGGAGTCCCTGCCCATGGTGGGGATGGGACTGGATGAATTGTTAGGTCCTTCCCAACCCAACCCAGCCTGGAATTCTCTGGCTGTGCCAGCACTGGGAGCTGACAGTGCCGTGAACTCCGAAGGTGCCGGAGGATCCAAAGCCCCAGGATTCCTCTCCTCCCCGATCCTGGAGGCTCCAGGGAAGCTGCTGGAGCTGGGAGAGGTCACACCACCTGCAGCTCTCAGAGGACAGGTGGAGCCTAAAGCATCACTCACAGAACAGCTCTGCAGGGCTGGGCTTGGCTCCGGGCAGGAATTAACGGGAATTCTCCGCTTGAGCAGCGGAGCCGCTCCGGGTGAGCCCAGGGACGGACACTCTCTTCCCTCAGGAACGTGTCCTCAGCCCTTGGGAAGAGGGCTCAGGGGCAGCTCCTGAGACTTCCCAGGAAAAAGGGGGTGGGAGGTGGATTTATGGAAGGGATTTGGTGCCTCTTGCCCAGATTTTCCGAATCCCAGGATCATTAGAGTCGGAAAAGACCTCCCAGATGGAGCCCAACACTCCTCCAAGGCCACCACTAAACACCAACCCACGTCCCCAAGAGTGGCTTTTAAATCCCTCCAGGGCTGGAAAACCCTTTTCCAGGGAGGAATTTTCCCTCTCCCAGCCCTGGCTGCACCATAAATCAGGAGCTGATTTTCCTTAATTGCCATTGGCACTTAAATTAAACCCTTTAAGGGCCGGAACCTGCAGGAATAACAAATATCTTTGCCCTGAAGTGAAGCCTCCAAGGGTGTGTCCGTGCTCCACTGCAGGATTTTCCAATATCACTTTGTCAGCACTCCAAAAAAAAAAAAAAAAAAAAAGAAAAAGAAGAAGTGCTTGGATCCCTTTCCCAGAGATTTATGACATTCCAGAGGTGAATGGATTTTTGATTAGAGGAACGTTTGGTTTGGGTTTTTTTTTTTGTTTTGTTCTCTCCCAAGTGGTGAGATAATGCTGGACCTCATTGAATTATCAGATTAAACAAAGCCCAAAGTCCCTTCCTGTCTCCACTTTGGAATTGCTCCCTCCCTGCAGCACTAAATCCCTGCTCTGAGGTGCAGCCGGGATCGATATTCCCGAATATCAAAGGGACAGGACACAGGGAAGGGCTTCAGACTGAAAGAGGGGAAATTTAGATGGGATATTGGGAAGGAATGTGCCTCAGGGAACTGGTATCCCGAGTTTCCCTGAGGACCATCTGGCTTTTTTTGGGTTTAAAAGAGGGAAAAGTCTTCAGCAGGAGGATTTCCTGCAGCTTCCCAGGAGAGAGGAGGGAGTGGGAATCTCCCACCCAGCCATTCCCACAGGCTTTGGGACAGAGACTTTGGGAGAGGGGGAGGAATTTGGAGATGAAAGAGCCCAGAATTCCAGCATGGATTGGGTTGGAAGGGACCTAAAACACCATTTCATCCAGGTTGCTCCAACCTGCCCTTGGACACTTCCAGGGATGGGGTAGCCACAGCTTCTCTGGGAAAGCTGTGCCAGGGCCTCACCCTCATTCCAGGCAGGAATTCCTTCCTGAATTTCTTCCTAATTTCACCTGAGGCCCTTTGGAGGTACCTGGGGAGACCCAAAAGTGGGACAGAAGCAGCTCTGGCCCAGCTCAGCACCGTCCCTGCTCCTCCTGGCTCTTGCTCAGGGCAAAGACATCGATCCCATCGATCCCTATCCCAGAGACAATTCCAGGCAGGGGAATCCCGCCCATCCCAGGCCATGGATCTGCTCGTGGAGAGCAGTTGAGAGGAAATAAAATCAGCAGGAGTTCATTGAAATGCAGCCACAGCTCCCGGCTGGAGCAGAGCTGGGGCCAGGGGAGAGGAGCAGCAGGACACAGGGATGGAGGGAGGGATGGAGGGATGGATGGAGGGATGGAGGGATGGAGGGAGGGATGGAGGGATGGAGGGAGGGATGGAGGGATGGAGGGATGGATGGGCTGGCTAAACTGGGCTGGAATGGACTGGGCTGGGCTGAGCTGGGGTTAGGCTGGACTAGGCTGGATTGGCTAAACTGGACTGGACTGGGCTGGGCTTTAATAGACTGGGCTCAACTGGAATGGACTGGGCTGGGCTGGAAAGGACTGGGCTATACTGGGCTAAACTGGGGTTAGGCTGGGCTGCTGGACTGGGTTGAGTTGGAATGAGCTGGTTTGGGCTGGAATGGACTGGGCTGAGCTGGAATGGACTGGTTTGGACTGGACTGGGCTGGGCTGAGCTGGAATGGACTGGCCTATACTGGGTTAAATTAGGGTTAGGCTGGACTAGGCTGGATTGGCTAAACTGGGCTGGAATGGACTGGTCTGGGCTGGAATTAACTGGTTTTGTGGATCTGGGGGGTTAATTTTTGGGCAGGATTCTGGAGCACCCCATTGATTCTGGAGCATCCCAGGGATTCGGGAGCATCCCGAGGATTCGGGAGCATCCCAGGGATTCGGAAACATCCTGGGGATTCTGGAGCATCCCATTGATTCTGGAGTATCCCATTGATTCTGGAGCATCCCAGGGATTCTGGAACATCCCAGGGATTCTGGAGCATCCCAGGGAATCGGGAGCATCCCGAGGATTCGGGAGCATCCCGAGGTTTCAGGAGCATCCCAGGGATTCTGGAACATCCCAGGGATTCTGAAGCATCCTGGGGATTCGGGAGCATCCTGAGAATTCAGGAGCATGCCAGGGATTCAGGAGCATCCCACTGATTCTGGAGCATCCCAGGGATTCTGGAGCATCCTAGGGATTTGGGAGCATCCCGGGGATGCTGGAGCATCCTGGGAATTTGGGATCATCCCATTGATTCTGGAGCATCCCAGGGATCTGGAAGCATCCCAGGGATTCAGGAGTATCCCAGGGATTCTGGAGCATCCTGGGGATTCGGGAGCATCCTGGGGATTCTGGATCATCCCAGGGATTTGGGAGCATCCCAGGCTGTGGGTCTGGACGGCCACACCCCCCGGAGGGTCTCAGAGGGGCAGAGACGCAGCCCTGGGGATTGGGGGGGTTATTTTTTTGGGATCCAGGAGGCGCAGGCGGGGGCGGGCAGGCTCAGCCCCCGGCCCCGCGCTCGCTCTTCCCACGGTCTGGTTTTTCCCAGGCAGCGGCTCAGGAAACTTCTCCCGGCTCCAGTTGCTGCGCTCCACCTTTTATTCTAATCGCTCCCGCATCGCCATAGGAACCCGCTCCAGCGGGAGCCGGGAGCGGCTCCTTCCCGGAGCGCTCCTTCCCCCGGCATGGCAAGGCATGGAGTCGGCATTCCAGGTACTATCCCTGCTCCCATCCCCTCTGGAATGCTCCCGCCGTGGGCACTGTGAGGGGGGGGTACCAGGGACCCCCCACCCCTCCCGGGCTCGGGGTCCAGGATATCTGCTGGATGTTGTCCAGCGTGGGTGGAGAGAGCGGGAGAGAGGATTTGGGGTGGGAAGAGCCTTTCCTGGGGGTTTGGATGCTCCCTGGGTGGTTTGGGAGCGGCGGGGGGGGTGGTTCCCGTGTGTGCCGGGATGAGCAGGGATGGGAAGGGTCCTGCTCCTGGCTGGGCTTTCCCGGGAGAAGCAGGGATCCCAGAGCCTGGGATTTAGGGGGAAAACATCCCTGCTCAGCTGGGACAGGGCTGAACACCCCCTTTGGGCCGAAGGGTTGTCCCTTTCTCTTCCAAAAAAACGTGGATGGGACATCCCTGGCACTCGGGGGGGCTGATCCACCCTCCATATCCCAAATTATTGGATCCTGCGGAGCTGCCAGGCTGGGAGAGCCCCTCCAGGGCGGCTCCATGGCTTTGGAGAGCTGCTGGAGGGGGAATTGGCCTTCCTGGTATCCACAGGTTTAGCAGGAACCCGACCAAGCTCCCACATGGGGGGTTTGGGGGTCAGACCCAGAATCCCGGAAGGTGCTGGAAGAGGGATGTTGGGAGAGGGTTTTGGAGAAAATGAGGGGATATCTGGGCACCTGAGGGGTCCTGCTGAGCCTCAGGATCTTCCTGGGGCATCCAGGATGTCTCCTGGAGCCCAGATCTCCTCGTCCATGATGACAGAGAGGGGCTGAGGGGATCCACGGAGGAGGATCCTCCCGAGGGCATCAAACCCCCACAAACACGGGCTGTGGCACCTTGGGAAGGGCTGGCACTGCCTGGCCCGGGGTTTGCCTGCTGGGATATGGAGGGATGAACCCATAGGAAGGTCGGGAAGAGCCGGGCTGGAGGTGGAGGGGGGTCTCACCCTCCCTCCCTGGGCACCTCGGGGGGCAGGAGGGTCTCTCCCTGCCAGGGGGGTTCAGTGCCAGCTCATTCCCTGGCAGCAACAAGAGGGAAGCTGGGCTTTCCCAGGGAATTGCATTCCCAAAATGGGAAATAACTCTATTTCTGCTGGGCCTGGCTGAGGAAGGACAGAGGGGAAGAACCAGCAGCCGGGGCAAAGAGAGAGGAGCAGATTTCCAGGGAAAACACAGCTTGGGGAGGTGCAGGAAGGCAGGAATGTGGGAATAAAGGAATGCAGGACGACAGGAATACAGGACAACAGGAATACAGCCAGTTTGTGACAGTGGACCCGTTTGCTCCCAGTTCCAGGGTGCATCCCATAAAAAGGTGCCAGGAGGTCCCAGCGTGGGGCAGAACCCCCCAGGGACACAGTGCAGCCCAAATTCCAGGGGTTTGCATCCCGCTGGGAGCTGAGCTCCCCCGGGAAGAGCCCCTGCCTGAGCTCAGCCCAAGATCCAGGCTCGATCCCAGCAGGATTCCTGGGCTGGATCCAGCGGCAGCGTTGACTGAAAAAGGCAAGGAATTCCTGCAAGGAATCTGGGAGCTCCTGTGGGAGAACCAGGGTGGCAAGGGAGGCACAGAGAGAGGCCTCCATCCCACCTGGGACAGACAGAGCTCCTGGGACAGACAGATCCTGGCTCTGGAGGTGAAGGGGAAGGGGGGAGGGAGCTGCACCTGCCAGGGAAGCCTTTTCCCATCTCCAAGGAGCTCAGGCCTTGGAAAAATATCAGGAATAGAAGAGAAGGCTCCAGGGAGACCTTCCAGGGGTATAAGAAAGGTGGGATAATGGTTTTGGGGCTAAAACCAGGGAGATTCAGGCTGGAGATCAGGAGGGGATGTTTTATGGGGAGGGTGGGGAGGGGCTGGGATGGAATTCCCAGAGAAGCTGTGGCTGCTCCATCCCTGGGAGTGTCCAAGGCCAGGCTGGAGAAGAAAAGGTTCCAAGGAGACTTAAACCTCTTCCAGGGCCTGAAGGGGCTCCAGGAGAGCTGGAGAGGGACTTGGGACAAGGGATGGAGGGACAGGACACAGGGAATGGTTTCAAAGTGAAAGAGGGGAAATTTAGATGGGATATTGGGAAGGAATTCCTGGCTGTGAGGGTGGGGAGGGGCTGGGATGGTTTTCCCTCATCCCAAGTCCCTCTCCAGCTCTCCTGGAGCCCCTTCAGGCCCTGGAAGGAGTTTAAGATCTCCTTGAAACCTTTTCTTCTCCACCCTGGCCTTGGACACTTCCAGGGCTGGAGCAGCCACAGCTTCTCTGGGAATTCCATCCCAGCCCCTCCCCACCCTCCCAGGCAGGAATTCCTTCCCGATATCCCACCTGAACCTCCCCTTTTACTTTAAAACCACCTCCCCATCCCCAATTTTTTTTTAATAACCACCTCCCAACACCCAAAGCTCCCCCTGCTGCCTTCCCTCCTCGGGGCTCCTGCGCTTTCCCACTCCCAGCTCAGCTCCAGGTCGGATAGTTGGGATAATCAGGAATATCTGGGAGCATCCAGAGGCTGAGCTCCAGCCCAGAGGTGCCCAGAGGTGCCCAGAGGTGCCAGGGAGAGCCCTCCCTTCCCAGCCAGCTGGATCCCTCCTCCTCCAGCTCCGTCCCTGTTGCCTCCTTGTTTGGAATAAACATCTCGTTAGATCTCGGTCCCAAATTAATGCCAAATTCGTGTTTCACAGCCGGGAAAAGCTCGGCACAACCCCCTGGAATTGTTGACAGGGCTCCTCTTCCTCCGTGAGCGCCGTTTCCTCGCTCATGTTCTTCTTTTTAGTTACTAAGGGAACATGAATCTTAATAAAACTCCATCAAATGTGCCTGAAATAACAGCTGCCTTCAGCCCACTGCCTGAGCAGAGAGCTGGGGCTCAGGTGGAAATTCCTGGGAAATTCAGATTATGGATCCAAAGGTTGGAAGAAACCTTGAAGATCATCTTGTTCCCACGGGCAGGGACAGCTTCCACTATCCCAGGGTGCTCCATCCTGGCCTTGGACACTCCCAGGGATGGGGCAGCCACAGCTTCTCTGGGAAAACCTGTGCCAGGGCCTCCCCACCTGTGCAAGTTTTGAGCTGTTGGTTGGATGTTCTCCTAAAGAGGTTGGTGTGGATGTTCTTCTGGGAGGTTGGTTGGATGTTCTCCCAGGAAGGTTGATGTGGATGTTCTCCTGGAAAGGTTGGTTGGACGTTCTCCTGGAAAGGTTGATGTGGATGTTCTCCAAAGAATGTTGGTTGGATGTTCTCCTAAAGAGGTTGGTGTGGATGTTCTCCTGGGAGGTTGGTTGGATGTTCTCCAGGGAGGTTGGTGTGGATATTCTCTAAAAGAGGTTGGTTAAATGTTCTCCTAAAGAGTTTGCTGTGGATGTTCTCCAAAGGAGGTTGCTGTGGATGTTCTCCAAAGAATGT